CAAGAATTGAGCTCTAATCAAAGAAAATTATATACTCCATATATATATCACAATATCGGTTGCGCTATAGAGCTCTGCTAGGTTTCCAATGGTGATTTTCATCGTATTTGATTTCGTCGCTTGAATGAGAGGGCTCGCACCTCACCTCTATTTTGTCGACTCTCACTCCTCATCCTCTGCTTCGTCTCGACGTTACTGCGTCTCTTCGACGTCGATGACTCGCGTCTGTGTCTGTTGCGTCTCACTCGATTCCGACACATATAGCTTCGCATGTCTGCGTCGATCTGTTTCGACGCTAACATTAGCCTCTCCCTGCCCGACAGCTTCAGTTCACATCTGAGTGCCACTCTTTTTCGGGACTTCGCAGCAGTAGACGCCGACAGCTGTTATATCTGGATCTTCCAGCAGGTGGATCTCCCTGGTGCTCCCTTTTTCTTTGGCTGAACCTAACAAACCCTCCTTTGCCCACGTGATGGGTAATCCTCAGGAGGAGTCGGCGGTTTTCTTCCTCTTAAGCAATAAAGTTTGTCGTGATGATACAAGTGATTGCCCTTTTGTTAAGAAGGGAAGAAGGAAAGGTGGGAAATTAGCACTCTTTTTCTCTGACTTAAAATTTTCAACCTTGACTGAGAAATTCAAGTTTGCTTTTATTGTAAAATTTCAGTGGGAGACCCACCTATGGAAGGTATCAGAAAGAGTGTTGATGAATTCAAACTAGTATGCAAGTGAAAAGTGAGACTCATGGTTGAATATTACACGAGGATTTTCTCCAAGAAATATCTTAGTATTGCAGTTAATTCAATGACGTTACTCAAGTGATCTCCTGATTTCGACCCAAATCATGAAACTCTCATTGTACCGGTATAGTTTAGTCTAGTACCGGTATACTCATTGTACCGGTATAGTTTAGTCTACCTGGTCTCAAGCTACACTTTTTTCATCATCAGGTTCTCTTGAGGTCATTCTTGGGGACTCTATAAATCTAGATTTACTCACTTTCAATCTAACCAGATCTTCTGTGGCCAGAATACTTGTGGAAAGAGATATTACCTCACCTGATATTACTGAAGTCTGGTTGTGCACAACTCATAATGAATATTGATGACAAAACATCATGGAACACAAACCTCCTTATTGTACCCATTGTACGATATTTGGGTATACCCTTGATAAATGTCACAAGCTTCATCCTAATTTGAAATCTAAGGTTCAAGTGAATGAGGATGGGTCTAACCCCACTGCTTTGGAAATACTTGTTCCACCTGGAGAGGAAACTACCACAAGACAGGATTTGGTGTTGATTTAATTGCCCCTGTAGACCCCCCCTTACACTACTATTATTGTTTATGCGATTAATGTGATGCTGGATGGCTCTGTTGGGTAAACTACACCTTCAAATCCTATTGAAAACAATACTGAAGAACTACTACCAACAACGGATAGTGTTCAGACAGATAATCAGGAGAGTCTTGCAGCTCCCCATCTTCAGTAAGTATCTGGTGTAGATGCGACAACTCATACTTCACATATACTAGAACCTATTATGGGTAAAACGGTTGGTAATTCTTCTGCTACAGCTCTACCACCTCATCATACTGATTCTACGGATGAGGAATGGCGGGTTTACACTTCCAGAAAGAAGGAAAAAAAAAGGAGATCTACTTGAGGTCAGGAATCTTATGAATGATACTTTAGTTACTTCAGGTAATGATACGCACCTCACCAACTTGTTAGTTGGATTCCTTCCGAGAACTAAAGGCAGATGCAAGACTAAATTGGGTTAACCCTCACTTTTTCCACGCCATGGTGGTTTTGGGTTTTTTTTTTTATTTTTACATGTACCCTCTCTTTTTTTGAGTTTTTTGAGTTTGTTGTACCGTGTGGGTTGAGTACCTATTTTTGAATTTTGAAGGAAAATTAATATGAAATTCTACTCTATCTCTAACATATATATATATATATATATATATATATATATATATATTGATCGAGAGAGAGAGAGAGTTCTCTTGTAAGCACTCAAATCCTTCCGACTTGCCCCACTTCAGCAAATCAACTGATCTACACATCACAGCATGGGTTCTTTTCATGAAAGGCGGGAGAGGGAGGAAAATGGGGAGGGAATCGTCATCTTTGAGCAAGATATAACCAAAACACCACCTGTCCTCGAATATAACCTTCGTTATCTATGCAAATATAATAGATGGGGTTTGCTCAGCTAGGTTTTTCTCTGGTTGTGACTCCATGGTGATTCAGGTAACCTTCGTTATCTATGCGTCAGATTGAGAATGAATTCATCGCCTCGTTGTGCTCGAAGAAGGAAGGGGGACTGCATCGCACCTGAAGCAGATTTGTCGCCTCGTCGAGGCCCAGCCTCTCACTTGCTATGTACGCGAAGACGGACGCATCACTGCCTTTGATTAGGTGAAAGCCTTAGCGTCACCTACCGCAGCTTTTGTGGTGTGGCCTTCGATTGGACTTCTGACTTCGACCTCATCCGAATCGCTCATTTTACGTCATTCGTTCCTCTGAATCGCTCAATTGCTTCAACTGCACTTCTGGTTAGCCCATCTGCTTCATCTCAGGTGAAGTTCGACTCAGCCTAAATCTTGCTGCAACCCTCAACTTCGGCCCTCCTACCCATCCTTTGTCGTCCTTCTCTTGTTGTTCTTACGACATTTACGGTTTTTTTGCTTAGACTGTTTTCATGGCAACTCTCTCATCTTCGATTGAACCTGCTCAGAATGTGGGCAAACCCTCTTATGCTGCAGTATTTGACAAAGACATTGTTGTTTTCCACCTTGGGGATACTTTAGTTTTTCCGCAGATGTATCACAATTCATTTATTGGACAGGGAAATTATAACTTCATAAAAAAAGTAGGAAAAAGAGGGGGCAAACCAGCATTAATTTTTTCTGCACTGAAATTTCAACCCTTGTTGAAAATCATAAATTTACACTAATTGAAAAGTTCCAATTGCGTCACCCTAAGGTTGAGACTATCAACAATGTGTTTGAAATTTTCATGTTAGTTGGCGACTGGAAGGTTGGTTTTTTTTTATGAAAAACATGTTATGATATAGCTTAGTAAAGAAGCAGGCATTGCAAGAATATTCTCGATGAAAAATATCTTAATTCAGGGCAAACATAAGAAATTGCTTAAGCGGTCCCCTTACTTTGATCCAAGTCATAAACCTCTCATTGTGCCTATATTGTTTAAATTACCTAGACTCAAGCTTCACTTCTTCAACCATCAAGTACTATATTCTATTGGGGTTATTCTTGGAAAACTAATGAAGTTAGACATTTCTACCTTTAATCTGTCAAGGCCTTCTGCTGCAAAGGCTTTAATAAAGAGGGATATTACACTTCGAGATGTAGAAGAAATTTGGTTTGGCACTGCTTATAATGGTTACTGGCAACAAATCATTATGAAACAAAGACCTTACTACTGCAATCATTGTAAGATGTTTGGCCACACACATGATAAATGCTTCAGTTTACACCCAAAGTTCAAACCTAATATTCCAATACAGCTAGATATAGATAATCCTATGGATGAACAATATGCAAAGAAACCATCTATTCCTAAACATGGTATTTCAGACAGTGCAATTTTAGAACAGAACACAAAGGAACCCTTGATTCCTCAACAAGTGAATTCTACCAGTAATACCAAAGAGGCAACTTTAGACCCTGAAACTTTATTGGAACATGTTGGTACAAATGTTAACCAGACAGATGAGCTATTTGTCGTCCACATTTCTCACATTGGAAGCATTCCTACACAGCCTAATATTGCTCCTAGTGAACCTGATGAGAACTCGCCTTTATGCAAGCCTATTGAGACCCCTAATCCCTCTCATTTGGTTGTACTGAAAGTTCACCATAATGAGTTGGCACCACTTATTGTTGTTAGGGAAGGTATTTATGCATTGGAGGAATGCCAAGATCAACGTGAGCTCTCCACTGAAATCGATCAGCTGGATCAACAAGTAGAAGATGAATGGCAGGTTTATAAATCCAAGAAGAAGAAAAAAGAAATGCCTCACCACCAGAATTTACAGGATGATTGTTTGATCGTCTCGGGTGGAAGACCCCTTGATAGTTTGTTGTTGAACTCCATTCCTAGAACCAGAGGGAAGGGGAGAGGCAAATCCTCCCATCATGATTGATAGTTTTGCTTTGCTTTTGGTAATTTGTGTAAGTTACTTTTTTTGGGGTATACTTCTACATTTTGCCTTTTTCGAGTCATGTACACGCACCTTGTAAGTGGGCTCCTAACATCCGCTCACTAAAATCTTTGTATCCTCTTTTTCATTAATGAAATTTCTATTTTGGCGGAGTATATATATATATATATATATATATATGTAGTAGTAGTAGATAGGATTTCTCTTGTAAGCACCAAATCCTTCCGGCAGCAAATTAACTGATCCACCCATCACAGCATGGGTTTTTTCATGAAAGAAATAGATGAAAGAAACGATCAGCATTAAACTGTGGCTAGAGGTGAAAATAAATAATATAATTATCACAATATATATATATACACACGCACACGAAACAGTACAAAATATGTACAGCGAGCGCTTGGTTGGTTAGATCTGTTATTTAAATTGCCTGATAAAATTGTTTAGGTTTTGTTAATCTTACCATAAGGACCGATCCTAAGCACAATCAATAATCAAAGTTAATTGTGATTCTAGCAAGCTATTATAGAAGATTCTCATTGCAAATAATGTCAAATTAAATATTTTAAATAGGTGATGAAATATGAAATGAAGATGATGATGATGATATAAGCGAAATGAGTAGGTGATTTTAGTTGAAATGTTATCTACAATGTTCCATTTCGATAATTAAAGTATATGAAACTCAACAAAGTAAGAATGACTAATCAAATCCTCAAAGAAAAGGAAAAAAAGGAACAATTTCTGAATGAAGAATTCCAGGAAACATCTAAAATTGAGAAAAGGATGAATATGTACAGCGATGCACCTTAGCCCATAAAGCCATCTCAACGATATCTATGCCAATAACTTTGGGGAGACAGCCCAATACCTCCTTGCTCATATTTAAAATGCAAAGCAGCAAGCGATTCCTTAAAAAAGAGCATCAACCAAATAAAAATAGGGATTGTCAGTAGATCTTTATGAAATATCTATCAAGAATTGTTAATTGCTTCATTTTATAGGCCAATATGTGTTATCAATAAAAGTAAAGTTTGAAGTAATCAACTCCAAAAGTCACCTATCATCTTTGTTTCTCAAGGTCCACTGAGGAGGAGCAACACTTTGGCTTCTGAGATTATCAAATCCCTAACAAGTGAAATATCATACAAGTAGATGATTGATAACAAAACTTTCGACAACAAGAGACAACCCTGCCAACTATCCAAAAAATAAGGAAATAACATTTATAAACATTACAAGAACTAAAGATAAAGGACAACGTAAATACCAGCATAAAGGTGCAGCCTGATGGATCATTTTGGATGACCTCCAACTTTGAGAGGTGTTTCAACTTATAGAGTTTTGCAGGCTACAAGACCAAACAGATAAAATAAGCACAATTCTTTAAGCACATTTTTGAATGACATAAAAAATGATCCTAAACACCTAATTATGAACTTATAAACAAACTGATCTATGTTGATTAGGTACAGAGGAGTAATAGCACCTACAAGAGAGCCATTTAATCGAACTCAGCTCTAGTTCATATATTTATATTTTAACGACATTTGTGTTTAAATTTTCTAAGAAAATAACCAATTTGAAGTCAACCTTTCAGCTGAATCAAGCCACAAACATGTTTGTGTACACACACACCCCTAAATAGAGATATTTGGTTGTTATAGTACCATAAGATAAGATTTTGCATTTCACCCAAACATCTAAAAAATGGCATGGTACCATATAGTCTTATAAAACTTACTAATATACCACTAGCCGTATACTATAAAATATGATATAGTAGAATGAGAGATTTAATGTTCTAGCTTCATATGAAGATCGCGCACATAAATAATCAAAGAGGGATTTACATATATGACACTTAAAGCATTAGATTTTCATATCCCAAGAGTGTTGAGTTATCCCTTTATACTATGTCGAATGAGGTCAGGTGGAGAGTGGATTTCCCCTTAGCATTGTCTTGTAATTCTGAGAGAGGACAAGCAAATATTGATTTGATCTCAAACTCACTGTTCTGAAATGGGATAGATGAGTATTAAACTCTCTCACTTCATTGTCTTGAAACAGGACAGTAGAGGCAGTGTTAAGTTATTCCTCTCCACAGTCTCAAATGCTTCACTCATATAATCATGCATTCAAATTATAAATTCAAATACTTCAACGAACCCAAATTATGTTCATGATAAATGCAAATATCAACAAAAAATGTATATTTATAAAATATAAGTTTTAAACTATGAAACTTAAAATATTCAAGAGAATTTTCTAAATCAATGCCTAGAACAAACTTCGTCGCAATAATTTTTAAAGGAGATAATTTGGCATTAACTTAATAGCTCACAATGCTAACATCATATTAATTATATCCTAGCATTCGCACTCAAAAAAATTTTGTGTAATTAAGGATGTCACATATGCCTTATACTCCTATGATTTGGCCCAACAACTCCATAAAAAGCGATTATAACCAAATTTGTTTAACCAAATGGTTTAGTGATTTTGCTCCCCAATGGCTCTGTTTATTTGAGTGCATGAATAATAAGGTAACATGATAAGACACAAAACTCTCTATCAACTAAGGTTGACTTGATTATGTTCCTTTAGACAAACATCTAACATAGGCCTATAATATCTCATGAGACAAAATAAGTTGTTCATTGGTGCTATCAATAATTCTTCTATTAAGTTGAGATGACCATCTCCTTCGACTAAGTACGTAGACTAGGGATCTTGAAAACTAGGGACAAATGAGTTTGGGATCTTGATATGGTTAGTCTTCATTTCTCTAACTATCCACTCTAAGCTCACAATAACAAACCTCTACAATCTAAAACTTTAGTTGTTATTATTACATAAAGCAATCAGTGCCTTAACAAATAGTCTTAATCGAAAGTGCTCTCTTGATATCGGGACAGTTAATTAACTATATAGGTTTGCGCAAATTAAAACTTTGAAGCTCATATCTAAAAAATTCTCACAAAATTAAAATGAAATCTCTAGATAGCGTACTTATCAACTAAATTTGCCTTTTGAAAATTACACTCAAAACATAACACAAAAACTCTCCTATCATTAAGGGAGGCCGAGCCGCGAATGATTGGAACCAACAGTGATTAATCATGAAGATGAAAGAGTTTATGTGCACAATAAAACCCTCGTTGATCACCAGTATAGTAGGAGATGTTGACAGGAACATATATATTGATGAGAGTCTACAAATACTCCTGATTTAGCTAAACATATATAAGAAAATATTGCTTGTTTGAAAAATAATTCCTAAGAATATGATCACGAAATAACTAAAGCCAAAAAAAAAGTTGTGAACCACAGAGAAATAAAACCGGTAACAAAGCACAATATAAATTCATAATTCCAGTGACTTACACTTCTAAATCTAATGACTATTTCTCCTGTATTCAATCAATTAAAAATAAACAACAGATGGGAATTAGGAAGCTTACCTCGAGAATTCCTCCATTAGAGTATTTTAGGACTCGAAGAAAGGCTTTGATTTTTTGACCCTTTGACTTGGCTGCCAGAATCACTTAGTTGTTATAAAAGAATTTCAAATACATTATAGAACTTCGCCGGATAAACAATTGTCATGAATTGCAAAGCCAATTAAACATCAAAGGAAATCTGCAATGCAGAGAGAATTTCTACAACAAATAAGGTGATGCAATGAAAAAATTAAGGCACAAATTGTGGAAAAACGTGTAAAAGGAATTTAGCAGTATACAATCCGTACTAAAAAAAACCTTAGAATACTTCATTGTTTCATCTACATTTTAATGAAGTGGCATTAACAAATGGTTTTGGAGAGTAGAGCAATAGTTAACAAAGATACTCGGCAAAAAATGGGCATTTTCACAAACTTAAATATCATTATTAATTCAAACATGTTAATATTACCAGTAAAAATCATTGCAATTCCATAAAAAAGTTTTTACGGCACTTAGGAGCATCCAAAGATGTGGGAAACAGTTAAAGAAAAAAATAGAGTTGTAAGTTACTAAAACAAACCTTAAAGATCTATCTCTTAAAATAATCATGCAGTATATAAATATGCAACAAATGAGTCGCACATAGTCCATTTTGAATAGAAATGATCATCATAAATTTGATGTTTGCTAAATTAGTAAAAACTCGTTATAGAATGGTAATGAGATCCAATGATAAGTTAGCTTATAAAAAACTTGGAAAAATTTAGGCAAGAGATGCATTTATAAAGAAAGTTAGATAAAATTAAGTGGAAGTAGCCAACAAAGTTAATTTCGTCATAATATGCAAAATTTTGCACAAATTTGAAATAACAGTTTAGGTGGAGTATAATAATATTAAGTTTGAAATGTGGATTCTTGTAGTTGGGAATGATGGTGACGAAGAGTTACATGTCTGTAGTTTGCAAGAATTATGTAAGGAGTAAAAGCAATGTGAATGAAAGTTAAAGATACGAAGAGCAGGAGATTACTAGTGATTGCAAGAACCCTAGCTTTCGCAATCTGGCGGCCGAGTTTTGCAGATTTACCGAAAATTCCACGGCTCTTGGCCACGCGGATAGAAAGGACGACCTTGTGCTTGCTCCCCTCGATGGAGGCCTCGCAGGCACGCTTCAACTCCGCGTCGTCGGCACTAGATCTCGCCATTGTCGATTGATGGTACGGATCGCAGCCTACGTACGACGTTTTTTTACATAAATGCTTCTCTAATAAGAATAAAAATCGAAGCTATTATTAATTATTAATGGAGAAGCCATGCATGGCTACAGTGTTTAGAGATGGTTGATATTGGTGGTCTTCGAAAGTGTAAAACGAATGTCGGTATCGCGGGAGATGATCGATATAACGGTCGGATCTGCTCGTCGAAGTTTGGAGAAGGCTACTGCAAACGCAAGCGCCAAAATGGGAAGAAGGGCGGGATGCGAGGATCGGAGAGGATGGGATGACAGCCTTAGAGGAGCGGAGAGGTATATATAGTAATGAGCGGTTGCCGTTTGTTTATGCTTTGCCTTTTATAAAAGTTTGTTAGAACACAGTTTTCGATTGGCCATCAAGCATTTCAGACACAATATTATACGACTTATTTTCTATTTAGTTAGAGTTACACCTTCGAACAAGCAGATTCAATTAATAACCTTTAGCAACAAAGTTATAATTGACGCGTGTAAAATAATAAGGTGATTTTTTTATGTAATGATGTACTAACTATATCAATAACTATTTTTGATGAATCTATATTTTCTTATGCTGCATGCATGTAAGAACTAGTCAGTTTCACGTATATTACGTGCATATTCACTCTATTTAATTATTTATAAGAAAATGTTTATTGCGTTATAACGTTATAGTAATTTGTGGAAAGCTATAATTTTTAAGTTCGTAACGTTTTTTTTTTTTTTTTTTTGGTGAGGCCCACAAATACAACGCCATTACCTGACCAGCAATGATGCATGAAAATTGCACTTTTAAAGAAGTGAATGTATAAAAGTATAAAATGGGTACATTAACGCAATTTGCTCTTCAAAATAATTTGGATAAGCCTAATCATCGCAAGATAAGTTGAAACTTTTATTTAGGAAAGAGTAAGTATAATCCTTTCATGCAACGATAAGGACGAATCAAATCTAAAATATATATTAAAGGAGCAAGTCAAATAAAAATATATAATTATCCCAAATCATCAACAAAATCAATTTATATATAATTAGAATATAAAAAAATAAAAGTACAAAAAAATATATGAACTCAGGAACTTAAGCTTAAACAAAATTAAATAAAATTTGATTTTAAGTCTAATGCTAAATCGCATGTTTCATGTAATGATGATTCTCCCCGCGCATACAATATTGTGCAATGTTTGTCATAAAAGTTGTTGTTGAAACTCAGAATAATGTAATAATTTATTTATTTCATTGATATGAACTGAGATATAAATAACCCTTACAAGAATACTATAATATAAAAAATAATAAAAAGTAAATGATATGAAAGGAAAGATATATCACTTAATATCTTCCACTGATATATCACTTAATATCTTCAATAATCAATTCATATTAATTATTAGGAGATATAGAAAATAACATAAAATAGGAAAATAAATAATTCATAATCAAAGTATATATCTCCTTATATTAAGGAAATAATTTATTCCTCGTAACTTCTTATACGAAAAAATCATTTCCTATTATAATTTTTAATACTCCCCATCAAGTTTGGAATGTATGTTAATAATTCCTAACTTGCTGCTTAGTGAAGAAAAATTAGTCGTTTGGATTATCGAAATTATTAGTTTCAGACTTAACTGAATTTTGAGTTTTGTCTGTCATATGTTTCGGCGTAGAAGAGAGATTCGGGTTTGGCTGAATTTTGAGTTTTGTCTGTCATATGTTTCGGCGTAAAAGAGAAATTCAGGCTTTGCTGAATTTGTTGGATTAGACTTGGCTGAATTTTGAGTTTTAAAGGTAAAGAGACAACATACAGGAAAACTGATTTTAGTTGACTACGGTTGTCGTCGCTACAAAGAAAACATGTAAATCACACCCAATAAATTATGCTGACAAACAAAGTAGCAGAAGAAAGAGCGGGTGGAAACATAGCTCCCCCTGACGCTTGGGCAAGGAAGAAAAAAATATTGCAGGAGAAATGATCGGCGGGAAACATAGCTCCCCCTGACGCTTGGGCAGGAAAGAAGAAAAATATTGCAGCAGAAAGGGCCGAAGATGGATTTTACCGGCATTATCTGATCCACGACAGTGATATCTCCGACGAGATGATGATGAGGCGGGTGGCGACATCTCTATTGCTGCCCTGGCTGGAGTCTCATCGTTGGTGTCGGCATAGGAAGATATAATGCAAGAAGTTTTTGGATGGTTTGTGGTGATGTTTGGTCAAACTCCAAAGCATCTTGCTATCATGGTTTCTTGGGAGCTGTGTACAGAAGTGAAGTAAGATTGCTCGACTTTCTGAAAGTCATCGGAGAAGGAGAATCCTCCAAAACATCTTTCTGTGCATTCCTAGGGGATGCGATGGCAAAAAGCTTCTAGTCGGATCCGAAAAGTTAGGAGTGTGATGCAGACGGTTCCTCCCCATCATTGGATGCAGTGTGCTGACTAGAGGAATCTCTGATCGCAATCTAGCATGCAAGGCATTAACTGCATTGGTAGGCATAGATGGAGTAGGAGACGTCGAGAATGGAGGCGAGAGTCGATACTCCTAAAAAATGAAGCTACCCTTCCTATGACCAGATTGTCGAGGAATTGTCATTTGATGTCCAAAATACTCAGTGGAGACACTCGTTGCTCCGCGACTGCATCTACAGAAGAATGTAGCGGATGATTTGTCATCGGCGTTGTGGTCCAGCTATGAGGCCTGCTGAAAAACTAGCGTCGTTGACGGGCTCACACCGCACTGGGGATAAGATACTAGACGTTTGCCCTTCTTTGACAGAGAAGCAGGAAAAGTTCTTATCGTATCAACAACTGGGCTTCCGAGACAAAGAGATGGCCCAATTGGCTCTCCATTGGTGGGAATGGATATGGATTGGAGAAGAAGAAAAATCGTTGTTTCAAATATCAGGATGAGTGTCCCTCCCTTCCTGCATAGAGGGTGACAAGAAGGGAGTCTAACAATTTTCAAAGAAGGACTGATGGTTACGGACAAAACCTTGCTCTGATACCATGTTAAAATTCAGAATAATGCAGAATAAAGTAGAATATTTGATTTATTTCATTGATATAAATGGGGGTATAAATAACCCTTACAATAATCCCATTAAAAAAAATAAAAAAGATGACATGAAAGGAAATATATATCACTTAATATCTCCAATAATCAATTCGTATTAATTATTAGGAGATATAAGAAATAACATAAAATAGGAAAACAAATAATTCATAATCAAATGAAATAACTATAAAATAGGGAAGAAAATATCTACTTATATAAAGGAAATAATTTATTCCTCATAACTTCTTATAGGAATAAATATTGTGCAATGCTTGTCATAAAAGTTGTAATTTTTTATTTAAGAAAAAGATTAGTATAATCGTTTCATGCAACGATAAAAAAAATTCAAATCTAAAATATATATTAAAGGAGCCAGCTTAAATAAAAAATATATAATGAATCCAAATAATCATCAAAATCAATTTATATATGATTAGAATATAAGAAAAGCTCAAAAACTCCTTTTTTCACTCACTTAGAATTTGAGCAAATTTGAGTAAATTAATTTTGAGGCCAACGAAAGCAACTACCATATAGATGTTATAGGGTTGTGAGCTTCTTGATGAATTGAAAGAGATACAAGGTGGCATGTTTGGAGGAATTAAAATGTAACATCACACGGCTTTGAAGATTATTATTTAGGTGATCAGATATTGGTATTAAAATTATATACTACCTAGAAATGTAAAATATTACTTTGTGACAATCTCTTAATAAATTCTCAATTTTAGAGATTATAGATTTCATTCAAAACATAGAATATTAAGCGACAAACACTGAAAAGGGAAAGGGCTAAAGGTAGCCAGTTTCACCCAAAAAAATATATATATATATATCTACCACCATAACCATTTTCATGTGATACTAAGGAGTGACATTATTTAAGAAGTTTGATGAAAGATTTAAGCCTAAAAGGCTAAAGGAGTTTGTCGCATAGGAGGTGAAGACAAAGGCGGTGAAAAGCGCCAATGAAGAAAGCTCCTAAAATGTCTGTTCTGTTACAGTTGATTCATGCTATGGAGGTAGTACCCAATATTCAATATGGTGAGAGGCTAGATATTTTACATTAATCTAGCCTCAAACAGTTTCGGCAAGCAAGGTGAATATGGTGAATTGTTCTTGGGCTTCGACGGCGAGTCTTTAATGCCCAATTCCAATTGTTCATAATCTGGAATGATATGTTTCATATGTTGAAATCGAAATCGAAGAAAATGAGTCGGCACAAGATTTAAATCTTTCATAAGGAAATAAGTCGGCATAAGCAAATGAGTCGGTACAAGATTTAAATCAGAATCAGATATGTTTCATAAGGAAGATTGATGCACTCAAAGGAGAGGGAGGGCCGAGTGCCTAGGGCAGAGACGAGTGCGATGGAAACCAATCTTGATTGTGTTTGTGAAACCAAACAAAGATACAATTGTAGGCCATGCACTACAAGGTTTATACTGATTAGTGTCAAACAAATCCGATGTTAATCAATAGAAAATCCAACGTTAAATGGGATTAGAGTCACATTTGTGTCGAAAATAATTTGCTGTTAAAATGAGGGTCACTAAAAATATTAGCGTTATAAATGTCTGGTGCAATGTGTCTGAATTAGCGCCCTATATATCAAAGTTAATCAATTTCATCAGATAAATGGCCGATACAAGATCCGCGTGATATTTGAGTCGACCTGTGTCCAATGCAATTTTGCATCGGAATACCATCGGCGAATATCAAACAACATCGTTTGGGATCCTATGAATACCGTTTGGTGTTCCAACGCAATTTATATGTAAACCTGTAACAATCCAAAAAAATAAATATAAAATAATGGTTAGATTTTCACAAACCCGCACACAAAAAATACAAGCAACATAATGACTTACTTGTTCATCATCACAACTAAAAAACAACATCACTAGTGCAAACAATGATAACAATAGAATCTTCTTAGAAGTTTCAGATTTGATTACAAACACAATACAAGCCAAAGTTAAGCACGTGACCTAATCAAGATGTTCTCAGCATATTCAGAGGAAGCAAAATAGTGCAGTTGAATTTGATCAATTCAACACGATAACTTCACAAACTCAACAGACTCATTCAAATAATATGATAAATATCATTTAATGTCAACTTGTTTGACCAGAATAGTTTGACAAATCAATTTTGTCAATCAATTTGGCAAGCCAGTTAGGCAAGTTATATTGAGTTATCAGATTATCTTATAGCCATGCAGTGATATTGACATGAGGCGTCTTTGCATCAGATGCAATAGATGTCACAATATTGTCGTGGACTGGTTTAGTCTAATCAATGGAGGGACCAATCGATCCTTCCAAGCAACGGGGCCACTTATCTTTACTATGGGCCTATATATATATATATATATATATGTTATTTCTTTGTGTCTTGGTCAATTTTTAGAGGCATGTTTTTTGTCAGGGCCGTTGCTAGCGTTCTGTTTCTCCCCTTTTAGGATTGTAACAAAAAACAGATGCTGCTTTGTCAGTAGCTCGTTCAAGGTGGTGATCATCTTGTAAGGAATCAAGTGATGCTTTGGGTGTAGATCGCTCTCTAGGAGGTAGTTATTGTCGATTCCTTTTGTCCGTCGACGTTGCAATTACCCTCTCCTCACTGCAGTCACCCAAGACAACATTTTGATTGTTGTTTTTTGTAGTTCCAACCGTTTTAGTCACCTTCCCATCCCTCCACTTCATTGTCAAAACAAATTCAAACCATCAACATCACTGTTTTGGCTGACTTGCCATCTTGCACCGCTGTCACCACCCAAAAACCCCTTTACCTTGCTATTTTCTGAAGCACCATCCACCTTACCCTCCCCTTCCCGCATTGTTATCACCCAAACTATCCCTTTCATTCCTATTCCCACTGTTTTAACCCTCCTACTTTGTTGCAGGTGCAGAGAACAATTAAGAACACCGCCTCTTTGTTGCTAGGCTAACCACTCAAACTTTGTGCTGCCACTAGCTAAGACAACAATCATGTTTGTTGCCCTTGCAATCCCGCACACCCTCCCCTCCTAAACTATTGTCACCCAAACCATCCCTTTTCAATCTTGTTCCCACTATTCTAGCCCTCCCGTTTTGTTTTCGGTTCATAGGACAACACAGAAACACCGCCTCTTTGTTGTTCCATGACTAACTATTCAAACTTTGTGCTACCACCGACAAAAACAACAATCATATTTGTTGCCTTTGCAGTTCACTCCCTTGAATTTGCTCACCATTGATGCGGGGTTTCAGTATGTGCTGTAAAAAATATCTTTCAATACTAAAATATCTTTCAATACTACAACACACACGACAACATAATTAGTAAATATGCAGATCAATCACAATAAAAAATAATTCAGTATAAATAGTTTTATATTTTAGTATCATTAAGCTGTCAAACCAAGTAATCACGCAAATATATGTATCGATCAAGTAATAAAGGGCTCTAATGAAGTCCTAAGTATCGATCCCACTGGGAGGCAAAAATTCTTATGATTATAACGTAAAACACAATATTCAATCTATAAAAGCTTATGGTTAGTGAAGTAATTAAAATAATTTAAATTTATATAAAATGGTATTGTGTTAAATAAGAACAATCATATTCTTTATCTTCTGCAAGTGCATAAAGAACATTGGCTAGTCCCTAAATCAGTGCTTAGGCTAGGAGCATACTGGTTCTCACTCCAGAGCTCCCACTTCTCCCTCCCCTGAGGCATATTTCATGTCGAGACAGTCACTGATTCATCAACGTCCTCTTTCTCCTCTTACAAGCCTGTAACCAAAGGCGGGCAGTGCTCTGTTGGTAGCTCATTTGCGTTCGTGATCATCTTCTAAGGGATTGAGTGGTGCTCCAACTTTAGTTCTCTCGTAAGGAGGCAGTTATCATCGATTCCTTCCATCCTTCATTGTCCCAATTCCCCTCTCCTCATTGCAACCTCCCAGAACAACATTCTAATTGTTATTTTTTGTAGTTATAATTGTCATCATTACCTTTCCCTCCCTTTGCTTCACTGTCACAACAAATTCATACCACCCAAAATTGTGTCGTCGCTTCCTAATCATCATGCACCACTGTCACCACCAAAAAACCCCTTCATCTTGATATTTCATGTAGCCACAAACCTCCCAGCCACCTTCCCCTCCCCTTCTCGCATTGTTTCCACCCAAACCGTCCCTTTTCAGTCCCGTTCCCACTGTTCCAACCCTCTCACATTGCTGCAGGCGCATAAGACAACCAGTAAACACTGCCTCTTTGTTGTTCCATGACCAACTACTCAAACTTTGTGATGTCATCAACCAGGACAACAATCATACTTATTGCCTTTACAATACTGCACGCCCTCTCCCCACACTGTTGTTACGCAAACCATCCCTTTTCAGCTTGTTACCACTATTCCAACCCTCCCACTTTACTACCAACACACAAGAAAACAAGGAACATTGTCTCCTTGTTGTTCCACAACTAACCATTCAAAGTTTGTGCTGCTAATAACCAGGCCATCATGTTAGCCTATTTAAGTAGAATAGTTCGATCAATGAATTTTGTCAATCAATTTTTAAACTATTTAAAAAGTTAGGGCGACTTATCAAATTACGTTATAGTCATGTAGTGATATTGACACATGGTGTCTTTGACCTAAACACGATAGATGTCACGATACTGCGCCAGTCTGGTTTAGTTCAGGCAATGAAGGGACTGGTCGGCCCTTCCAAGCATGGGTATAATACCTATTTGGATCGGGGCTCACTTCTCTTTACCACACACATATATCTGTTATTTATTTGTGTTTAGATCAATTTTTAGCATATGTTTTCTATCGAGACATTCATTGGCGCCTTTTTTCTCCCCTTTTAGGCATGCAACAAAAAAATTAGTGGTGCTCTGTTTGTAGCTCATTCATGGTGGCGTAGTTCCAATTGTCATCATCTCCTTCCCCTCTCTCAGCTTTACTGCCAACATAGGTTTACACCACCCGCATCATTGTCGTCGTTGCCACCATCTAAAAACTCTTTGACCTTGTTGTTTTCCATTGCCACTAGCCTCCCAACCGTCTTCCCCTCCCTTTCTTGCATTATTGTCGCCCAAACCATCTCTTTTTAGTCTTGTTCCCACAAATCCAACCCTCCCACTTTGATGTAGATGCATAGGCCAACCAAAAAACACCGCTTCTTTATTGTTTCATGACCAATCACTCAATTTTTTTACTCCCACCAACTATGATGACAATCATACTTGTTGTCTCTGCAATCCCGCACCCCCTCTTCTTGCACTATTGCCGCCCAAACCATCCCTTTCAATCTTATTCCCATGGTTCCAGTCCTTGTACTTTACCAGCTGACACATTGGATAACAAAGAAAACACCGCCTTCTTATTGCCACCAACCTGAACATCATGTTAGCAAATTTGACCGAAAAAATTTACCAATCAATTTGACAAGTTAATAAACAAGTTAAGGTGACTTATCAAATTACTTTATAGCCATTTAATGATATTCACACGAGTTGTCTCTGCCCCAGACGCGGCAGATGACGCAATATTGTGCCATACTGGTTTTGCACAGGCAATGAAGCATCCTATTGGTTCTTCCAAGCATGAGTTTATCTTCTATTCAGAGCGGGACCCACTTCTCTTTACCCTAGGTATATATATATATATATATATATATATATATATATATATATTATATATATATATATATATTATATTATTTCTTCGTGTTTAGGTTAGTTTTTAGCATATGCATTCTGTTGGGACAGTCATCGACGTCCTCTTTCACCCCTTTCAGACATGTAAACAAAGGCGGGTGGTGCTTCGTTTGTAGCTCGTTCGTGGCGGTGATCATCTTCCAAGGGATGGAGTGGTGCTCCGACTGTAGCTTGCTCTTGAGGATGCAATTCTCCTTGATTCCTTCAGACTTTAGTGCTTCGCTGTCGCAATTCCCCTCTCCTCGTTACATCCTCCGAAGATTCTGATTGTTATTTTCTGTAGTTCCAACTGCTGTCATCACCTTCCTCTCCCCCTGCTTGACTGCCACAATAAATTTCGACCACCCACATTGCTGCCGACGTCGCCTAACCATCCTGCATCACTGCAACACCCAAAAACCCTTTCACCTTGTTGTTTTTTGCAGCCACCAGTCTCCCAACCGCCTTCCCCTCCCCTTCTCGAATTGCTGCCGCCCAAACCATCCCTTTTCAGTCCTGTTCCCACTATTCCAACCCTCCCACTTTGTTGCAGGTGCAGAGGACAGCTAAAAAATACTGCCTCTTTGTTGTTTCACAACTAACCTCTCAAACTTTATGCTGTCACCAATTAGAACAACAATCATACTTGTTGCCCTTGCAATCTATCACCCCCTCTTCCTGCACTATTGCCGCCCAAACCATCCCTTTTCAGTTTTGTTCCCGCTGCTCGCCGCTATAACTATCATGTATTGCTGCTGTCACATCTTTCCAGTATTCCAAGCCACTTTGTCGACCTCCATCACTTGTGTGAACCTTTAATTGAGTCTGTGTTGTTTTTTTACGTTCAAATTTGTTTAACTGCAATCAATAATAATATTTGTTTTTCTATTATTATTTCCTATTGTTGTATGTGTTGACACTAATATTAGCTATATTATGTAAAATGTGCTGCATATGTTGCCAAGTAATTGTTATTATTTTGATACATTTATCTTTATAGATAACCATTATATAATTATCTATGGGAACCTATTCAATATTTGAAATGGAATCTGCAGTAGTACAAACTTTATCTTCGATCTTTACACTCGAGTGGCCTTTTCTTTTATATTTCATTTTCTATATCCAACCATCTTCTTTGCAATTCATTATCTGGAAACGACAGGTTTAGGGTTAACGGTGTAGGGCTGTGAATGATTTCACTTTAAGAACCTATCGAGCGTCAGCGGATGTTTGTTGAACGGCGGCAAACTTCTTGACGCTTCGACCTCCCGCTCGGTACTCTCGACCCCATCCTGTCAAACCCTCCCAATAATCTGTCTTGTAGCATAGTGAACTATGAAGAAGAAGAAGGTGATCTTTCTTTTTCCCTTCTCGTCTCTTTTCCTCTCTTCCTCACCCCCTGATACCTTCTTTTGTGACGTCTGAATTGCTTGCATTCGCGGCCGACCATTTTTTCCCATTCTTTTAATGCGTTCTTTGCAGCAATCTCTCTGTAGTGGGCAAGTATTAAGCACCTCGACAGGCGTATTCGAGCAGATGCTGCGGCAATTGGGAGACCACTCGGCTGAATTCCAACTGCCGCACTGGCTCAAACAGCAGAAGTCGTCAATGCCCTACACCTTCATCAAGCGCAGTATCCCTCAGAAGTGCACCTGCGCGTTTATGTCTTTTTCTTATTTTCCATCCATAGACAAACACGAACTTCCTTCTTACGGCATTTAAACACGCTACAACCCAAGACAATTTCTTTGTCTGTCTTTTGGCCTTTTAATATTTGATCCAGGCATCAGAATTTACCCGGAGTTCATAATTTGCCACTTACACGCATAGAGGCAGTGTTTTAATCTGTTTCAGATGTAGATTTCATGATGCATGAACACAATAAATGACACCAGTGAATCACTACAGATGTCAAGCAGGCTGTAGGGATGTATATTACATATTGCAAAACTGCAGCCTATTCCAGCTCGTCTATATTTTAGATCTGCATTTCAGTTGTCCCGCCTGACATCCAAATCACCAAATTTGCTTTGCTAAATTCATGGCTCTGCAGGGCTGATCAATGGCCTTGCTGGTTTTAGCGGAAATAAAAGTTGCTTGAACAAGGCACGAGACTTCTAAAATTGAAATCTAGCATGCAAATTTCAAGCTAATATCTGTTGTTATTCATAGGCTATATGTATGTTTTTTTGCTTTTCTTGATTTGTAAGATATTTATCTCACCAAAAGAATCAAACGTCGCGCTGAGGATGATGGTATATTCTGTTCTTGTGCTCCTTCTGCGGGCCTGTCTGCAGTCTGTGACCGGGATTGCCTTTGTGGGTAAGCATTATCTTACTGTTTAGTCTCACCGTTCATGCAAATAGCTTCTGACAGCACATCTGGTAAATTTCACTAAGCTGTTCATGGTACCTCTTTTCAATGGTTATGTTGGTGCCCCCCTTTTGTCATCTGGAGGAAAAGGGGATTGATTGACAACTATGCTTGCGTCAGGGTAACATGTCACTGAAAGCATCCTAATATGCTAACTTTTTAATACATTTAGAGACAAATTAGTGGCACTTGTCATGGCGTTATGGCTTGCAATTACTAAGTTTTTTATCTTCTCAGTAGTCATTCGTTCATGTTGCAGAATGCTGTTATCTAGCTGCTCTAAGAGCTGCAAATGCGGTGCATCGTGCATTAACAAACCATTTCAGTACCGGTCCATGAAAAAGATGAAATTGGTCATGGTATGAACATTAACTAGCAACGGCTTCCACTTCGCCTGCCGAACATTAATTAGGGAATTAGTGTCATGTTGGCATGCAGGTTTATCAAATATAGCTTAGATTGCTTATAGTGTAATTCTGGGGTTTTTGCGCTGTAGAACTTTCATAGGGAATAAATCAAATTCTTTTGATTGATGCATTTGGAAATGTTCAAGAAAACAAATAACCACTAACACAATGCTTATCAGACATCATGAATTATCAGACATTATGTATGATCAACAAATCACTAATTGAATTATGAGCTCTTATGAGCTCATCTGAATATGTACAATGGCTATCAGACATATTGAAATCAATTGTCATGTAAAACTAGTATTACATCATTTCATGGTTCATTAAGTAGGGAGATTTCATTTGTTGGCAGGAGATGTTTATGGAAATATTGTTGCATCTTATAGAGAAATCATAGATTTTTCTTTGCTGCAGAATTTTATAAGGGAAACAACAAAAACTTGGCTGAGATAATTTATTCATTACATTTACATTTGGAGAATATTTGGTTTCTTTTTTTCCTTTCTTTGAATTCTACAAATGATAAGTTTGTTTAAGCAGTTGAATCATTATTTGTTTTAATATTCAAGCATGTCAATTTATTTTTATCAGTACCACTTAACCTCTTTTTGGGAAAAAAATATCACGCGCACTATCTTTAGAAATGTTTTGTTAGAATAGCGCACTTGTCAATCTGTTATGCATCTATTTTTTGTTTCACTTTTGATAAACGTAGGAGTGTCAAATCGGGTTTGAGGGTTGGGCTTAGATTTGACCTGAACCTTGCCTAAGCTAAAACGGCTTCACAGGAACCCGACCCAAATATAAAACAAGTTACAAATTTTAACCCAAACTTGACTCGTCTTCAACCTGATTGATTGAAACCAAACCCACAAAACCGTTTAATACATACATAAAACTATTTGGGTCAAATTCGAGATTGGTGGGCTAACCTGAACTCAACCCTAATAATTAATCGTATTGGGATTCTTAACACGAAGTCCATCTGAAAGTTAATCGAGTCAACATGTGCTCAGATATTTATAGTCATCTTCAAGTCGTGTTAGAATGTCGGGTCAATTTTTGACACCTCTAGATAGATGGTGTTAAATTAATTGAAGAAGGATAGTTAAACTCTTCTCCTTTCTCTTCTATTCATAGGTCATATTTTTAGCTGTTAAAAATGGGTGTTATGTATAGACCATGCATAAATTGGCTATTGCAAGGCATAGCATAAAGCATGACCTTGACGAATTAGTATTTTAGCTATTCAAAAAACTAGTAAACTTTTTTGGGTATGAAAAATGTATAAGTGTTGCCCTCATCTCATTAGAAAATACATTATATAGAACTTTTTTTTTTGTGATTAGTAAATTTTTTTTTCTTTTCCAAGAATGATTTTGGAAGTCCAAGAGCTAGTTCATTGTGTATATGTATGTGTATTTTAATACACTAACAAAAACTTGCACAAATGTACAAGAAAAATGACTAACTGGATAACTTTATTAGAGCAAAAAATGTGATCTCAAAAAATTATTGAAGTATATACAAGTATTTTATGAACTTCATTGTAAAGGGAAAGCATTATAGATGTTGATAAAATCACTTTTGTAAAATATGGCCGTATATATAAGGGTAATTGACTTAGTACTTTGTTGGTTTTAATATAATTTACATGTGAAAAGAAATAATATTTCTTATGATATTTTTATTTTTTATGGGATAATTTTATATTATCTCTAAAAGTCTAGTTTTTTTACAAAATCAACACTTCCCTATCTCTATTTAACAAATTCCTATCCAAATATCTATATTCTTAGCAAAATCTCATTTAGTTTTTTTTTTGTGTCAAACTCCCATTGATTTGATTGTGGCATGTGCAAATACAAGGGTTTGATTGTTTTTTATTATTTGGATGAGTTTTAATTTTTTAATAAGATTGATTTTATGGTATGCACTTAAATCTCCTTATTTTTTAATATTATTAAAAATTTAAAATTTAAGTTGGTTCCTAATAGCTCCAAAAATATTTTTAATAGTAATTTTTCTTATTTTTATATTTTGCAATACAAATATAATTGATATAGAGGCTATATATTAATACATAACATGGCTTCCAGAGCCATGGTCCCTACCTCAAGTTGCTAGAACTTCTTTCAAGAATCGCCGAACTCCTTTCTTGTAAGCAGATCTTCATCCTACCTGACCGTATCTTCCTTGTTCATGTTGGAATTTCTTCCATACAGGCCTTGTTTGTATTTATATGTGTAAGGAATCAACTCTTTCCATGTCTCGACATCCACTCCTTTGGCTCCTCGAAGCCATGGCTAATTCCTCCACCATCGAGCTTCCGTTTGGCGCTGTTCTTCAGTCCACCGGAGGATCGACATCCGCCTCAATCCCTCCTCAGATCGGAGAAATTCAACGACTCCAATTTCCTCAAATGGTCTCAAGTTGTTTTGTTATTCGTTAAAGGTCTGGGTAAATTCAACCACCTCACGAAGATGATTCATGAACTGCCAAAGTCTGACCCAACATATGCTACGTGGGAAGCAGAGAATTCCATGGTTATGTCATGGCTGATTAATTTTGTGGAGACCTCTATTAGCCGTTCTTACCTAATTCTTTCGTCTCCAAGTGCTATGTGGACCGTCGTCCGCGATACCTACTCAGATGTAGGTAATTCTGGACAACTCTATAAAGTTTATAATAAGATTAGCGAGGCTAAACAGGGATTAAAGACGATGACCCAATACTACAATGACTTGGTTGCTTTATAGATGGAATGTGACATCTACTATAACTATACTCGAAACTCTTTCGTAGACCTTTCCCTATTTCAAAAAACTTTGGAAAACACTCGTATGTTCCAATTTTTGGATGGCCTGAACAATGACCATGATGAAGTTCGCGCCTGTATACTTGGTTGTGACCCTCTTCCTTTAATTCCGACAGCATTCACCGAGATCCGTCGCAAAAAAAGCCGGAGATTTGTCATGCTCGACAACTCAACTACTTCAATCGAGCCCTCAACCTTGGTCTCTAATAGTACTCGTCACTCTAACACGCCGTTGCGAGCTAATCACTCCATATGTGATTTTGGCCACAACCCCTACCATATCTGAAAAAAGTGTTCAAAGCTCAACGGTAAACCGACAAATAAGTCTTCGACCAATTCTTCCATGGCTAAAGGGCTTATTATGATCTTAGAATCCACAACAATTCAGTCGGCTTCAGCGCTAACCATTCCTGACTCATTGTACTCTATTAAGAATCAAATGAAAAATTTGATTAAGCTGCTTGGGTCTAGTTAGTTCCCCCCGACCCATCGACCTCTCATGTTTGTCAATAACATCTTTATGACATTCACTGGTTTTATTTATAGTTCATGGATTGTTGATTCAAGTGATACACACCACATAATAGGATGTTTTCACTTTTTCTCGACATATTCTTCTTGCTCAGGGAGAAATACTATTAAAATTGTAGACGACTCCTGTAATTTCATTGCAGGTAAAGGGTAAGTTGTACTAATAGCCGGACTGATGTTGGGATTCATATTACAAGTTCATTTGCGTCAATGTAACCTCTTATCGGTCGATAAGTTAACATATGAACTTGATTGCATTGCTTATTTTTCTACTGCTGTTTGTGTCTTTCAGTATTGTCGTTCTCGAAAGATGATTGAAACTGTTAAGCAGATAGTTGAACTCTATTTAAGAAAATGACATTGATGACGCAGACACTCAATCTCATAGTTGTTTTTCTTTTTCTACTGTATGTCCAATTGTACTTTCACATTGTCTTTTGGGTCATCTCAATTTTCACTATTTAAAACAATTGTACTATTTAATGTTTATTGATAAAAAATCATCTTTTAAATGTGAATTCTGTCAATTAGCTAAACATCAACGTCTACCACTTCCATCAAACACTTACACTATTTTTTAATTTATTCATGATGACTTATGGGGACGCCCTCGAACTTCGAGCTATACCAATAAACGGTGGTTTGCTACTCTAATTGATGACCACACCCTGGTAACTTAGGTATGTATATTAAAAAACAAATATGAAACAACTGTCACTTTTAAAAAATTCTCACTCCTTCATTTTGACCCAATTCAAAGTCACTATTAAAATTCTTTGGGTCGACAATGGCCGTGAGTAATTTAACTATATATTGGGAGAATTTTTGGTTAGTAAGTGCATCATCCAGTATAGCTCCTGTAAAGATACCACTCAACAAATCGGGATAGTTGAGTGGAAAAATAAACACCTTGAAGTTGCTCGTTCCATTATGTTTCCAAGTAGTGTTCCTAAACGTTTTTGGAACGATGCTGTTCTTAACTTCACTTACCTCATCAATAGAATTCCCACAAAAATCCACAATACCCCATTATTCATTCTGATGTCGTGTTTTCCCACCAATCAGTTATTCATATTATATCTCGAAATATTTGAGTGTATGACCTTTGTTCGAAACATTATTATGACTGAAAGTAAACTTGATCCCTGCTCAATTAAATGTGTCTTCCTCGACTATTACGACACTAAAAAAGGCTATGACTGCTTTGATCCTACCACCAATAAAATCTATGTTAGACCTTTGTTCGAAACATTATTATGACTGAAAGTAAACTTGATCCCTGCTCAATTAAATGTGTCTTATGACTGTTTTGATCCTACCACCAATAAAATCTATGTTAGTGTTGACGTCACCTTTTTTGAAAATGTCCCATTCTTCCCTAAAGCTATTTCAAGTGAGAGTGAGCTTGATTTTCTGGACATCATTCCTTTTCCGACTACGTCGGACATTCTGCCTACTCCTACAATCATAGTGTCCAATGGACTTCCAAGCCAACATTACCAGCATCCTCGCTGCTCCGCTACAAATCTTGGACTTCGCTCCGGCGGACATCCTTGGAATGATGCTCTCTCAATTTACGAGGGTCACTTCTGATATG